AGCATAGTGGCTAAGGCACTTGACTGCTAACCAGAAGGCTGGTGGTTCAAACCCACCAGCCACTCCTCAGAAGGAAGGTTGGGCAATCTACTTCCATACCTTGGAAACCCAAGGAGGGGTTGCTATGAGTCGGGTCCAACTCGACAGCACGTAATAACAACAGCAACAATGGGAAAAAAAATAATAAACAGTCCAATTTTTTTTAAATGAATTGGAATTTTTATTGTAGAAATACTTGGCATTAAATTCCTTCTTAAGCGCTAATGTTACTAATTTTCATACTCCTAATCCCAAAAGGAGCTCTAGTGGCATAATGCCTAAGGCATTTGACTGCTAACCAGAAAGTAGGCAGTTCATATCCAACAGCCACGCCACAGAAGGAAGATGTGGCAATCTGCTTCTATAAAGATTTACCATCTCAGAAACCCAATGGGGGTCGCTGTGAGTTGGAATGGAATGGATAGAGTAGTGAGTTAGGTTTGGTTTTATTACTAATTCATATACCTCCAATGACTTCAATCATGAGGATGGCTAGGACCGGGCAGTGTCTGTTGTACATAAGTGGAACCAACTCAACAGCACCCAACAACAACCACCTCTATTTTTAAATATGCTCATGTTGACAAAACACCTTAACATTAAATAACTTAAATGACAAATTCCACATATAAACATCTTAATAGCAAAACTAAAATCAGACTTTTTTAAACATACAGTAACAATTTTTGTGACATATAAGAGAACTCTTTTGCTATTAAATAATGGCTAATAAAATTTCAGTGATATACAATATAGGCATATCACTTTTAATACATGATTCTCGATTGTATTTTAGAAAAATATCACTGGTGTACACATATCATTCACTTTTTTTCACATTGCCACAGAAATCAACAATAGCACTTTTGCTAAGACTCTTGACCATCAATGTGTAATTTGTGAATGTGATTATTTGCTTTGGAAGAAAGACAAGGTAAATAACCTTTAACAGAGAAAATCACATGAGAAAATAGGTACTCTCATCATTTTTAATAAACACTTTCACAAACATTGACTATTTTATGTCAAAATTGTAATGATTTAGCCATATCTGTGAAAATATTAAATCCATACATGTTTTAACCCAGCAATTT